ATTTCCGATGCTCTCGCCTTAGCCGAGGCTGGAATGTTACCTTATGAGGTGCACACTTACGCTCTACCTGACTACATCCTTCATGTACTACTAGTTAATCGCTTTCAGACAGCGTTTGCCGTTATTTCGTACCTTCCAAAAGAAACCGATTATTTGCCATGGTCAGTTGCTGTGACAGCGCTGGAGAACTTCTACAATCGTCTTTCAGATTCCGATCTCGAAGAAAGCGCTAACGTAAGCGAATTTGTTGAAATTGTACACTAGGAATGGATATCGGAGCGTCAACGTCAAAGTATAAAATTTTTGGGCTGAACTCGACAGAAAGAGGAGAAAACTAATTTTGCTTTCTGATATCCAAACGGGGCGGATCATAAAAATCGGGATATCGGCAGGGTTGTCAGAGAGTGGTACCAAAGAAGTCAAGTACAGCGTGGTTCCAATGGCTGAAGTGAAAGAAGGAAGGGTGGAGGAATGCGGAGAGGCACTAAACTTCAAATCCTAACAGTCCTACCCCATTGAAGCAGTAGGCATGAGCAACATCCGTTTAAACTATTAAACTGAATTGACACGACGTTCAGAGATTTCAGCAAGCTCTTTTCCTTAGTGAAGAGTTTTGAAGACTATAAAATGTGATTTTAGGAATTCGTTTTGGAGAAGCTCACACCAATTTTCAACCTTATCGATTTGGGCAGCCTGAATTTCGACAATGGAGACGACTTTCTTGCAAGGTATTCCTTTGAACTTGGAATGAGAAGGATGGCTGACTTCCATCTGTAACCCTGATTTACTAGAGTCCCTTGTTCGCAGTAGAGCATATTCCAGCACAACAAGAAGGAGGATAGCCAAGCTGTACTGCAAGCTTTCACCTGACGTATGTAATGAGAAGTTGACTAATCAGTTCAAAAAGAACTTGCTAGCTCAATGCGACAAGAACAGCAGCATCGCTAGCGCTTGTTCGAAGTCAGTTTGAGCTCAGATCAGGTCGATTCACCTCTCCGTCAGGTAGCTAACAATTACATTCCCATTAAGGGTACCTTCCATTGGACGCTCGATGGTGTACTGTGTTGGTGTGGCTCAAGGAGGAGACAAAGACTTCAAGAAAATTCATGAGCTATCGCAAGACGAGGTGAATACAGGGGAACGAACTCGGCTCACCGAGGCACTTGCATGCAGCAAAGACCCAAGGAAACTACGAAAGCAAGTTTCACTTCTCAGTTGTGTCTTACAACCACCAATCAACAACTGATCGATTTCAGTTTACTGTATGAAAGCATGGAATCCGAAGACGGTGCAGTTCGAAAGTCAAATGTGCAACAGTTGGTTACTGCTATGAACGATCAACTGGTGGGAGCCGAAATTGTAACCGATTTCGTTCTGGACAATTGGAAGGAGCTGACAAACACGTGTGTCACATGGTTCATTGCGTCATTGTGTCATGGTCTCTCTTCTTATAAAAACAACTTCAGATTCGCACAAGATCGTGATAACTTGCAAGCCGTGTTAGGAAATGCGCTCGATCTCAATAGTGAACGAGAAATCAAGCAGGCGAGTAATCGTCTCAGAACTTGTAAGCAGACAAGTAGTTGACCCTACTGATCGTCTGCCAGAAGTCAGATGCCGAAACAGCTGGACAGAGTGGCATGCATTTGTGCATGTCTCAGAAAAATGGCTTGATCACAGACCTGGCACATTGTATTTCCTGAAACCTGTTCTCTT